TATCCTCAACTTACACTTTGGTCTCACTCACACAACCTCCACAGTCCTTTGTTTCATAATTTGTGACATTACAAACAAACAAGTTATTGGAGTTATTTATGTAGAAATGAGTAGTGATTACATCATGAACTGACTGAAGCTACAGAATCTATAGAAATAGTGGAGTTGAAGATTCCCCGTGGGAAATAGAATGCAAGGTGAAAATATATATCTTTCCATCAACTACAGCTGTGTGCGATGGTTCAGTGATAAGACCCACACCAACCATGTTAGTGATCCGGGGGTTCAACTCCTGTCCGACGCATTCCTAAACGTCATCTAGCTTCCCAGTCGATATTAAGCCTAGAAAAGAGGAAATATTGAGTGTAAAATCAACACAGCTGCTAATGAAAATAAAAGGTATTAATTCTTGAGGCTCTAAGTTCCATACGGAACAGAAATGAATGGGAAAAAATAAATAAATCATAACTAAACTTTCGTGGTAAATTTCCTTCTCGATGTATTTTCGTTTAAACTAACGCGAACCTAAAGTTTACCTGACTGCTATAGTTATAGATAACTATTCTTCAGTCTACGTGTTCTTTTGTATTGTTCTCCTATCCTAATATCTCTTGGGATACTTCAGAAAGACACTGTTACAAGGCTAACGGCAATAAAATTTGTCGGCACGGTGAATGGAGTGTCGCTTAACTAACTCGTTAATACTGTTGTGGACAGACATTGGTTTTTATGAGTTTGACCACGGATTGATATCAGTTGGAGGACCATTGAAAACCAGTACTGGAGTACTGGACATCCACATCTTTCATCCTTGTTTGGAAATCATCGACAGTAGCCACCCAGTGCCAGGGTTCGAATCCAGGACCTTCCATTCAGCCACTGCTTGGACCCGATTCAATGACCAACCCATGAATTCTAACTGCTACCAGTTTGCGATTTAGAACGACTGGTACCAATCAATATCATCAGTGAGAAATCCATCCTCACACACTTGACTGGTTGAACCTCACTGGTCACAACTTATCACAAGAACTCCAGGAAACTCCGTCTTGCAGCAAGTCACTGGTTCTCTAACTGATATTAATCCGTGGCCAAACTCGTAAAAAGCAAATTTAATCCTTACAAACTCTTGACAGACATTTGAACTCATTGAAGAAATCGGCAAATATCATCTTGTCGGACTCTCATCATCCTTCTTATATACAACTCTCCATTTGCGTCCCATTAGGTAAGACTAGAGACATTTATAAAAGCCTCTATACTCGGATTACTAAACATAAAAACTCTACGAGGCAAAGTTAAACTTTAGACACCACTGACCACAACCAATCAGCAAACGACCTTGAACGGACCAATCACAATAGAGAGGCATATGTGATGAATAGAAATGTATATTTATAGAAAAAAAGCATAAAATAGAGAATAAAAAAGTTACATGGGATATCTTTCTCGAACATGTGAGAGAAACATCTCCCAGTTTAGCATGGGACTGCCAATGGAGAAGTTACACCATGTCCTGTACATATATTCATCCAAATGACCATAAATGAGATCCTTTTGAGATCCATTTATTGCCCTTATCCTATTTTTCAACCTAACCCAATATCCTCCAATACAATTTGTATGTGTCCTCGTAACGGGATCCACAAAATCACTTGAATGGTTGACTCTATGATGAATATATATCCCAGAGATGACAGTGAATTGTAGCCTTTCCACTCGTCGGTGTGTATAATTGACCCCCGCTTAACAAGTCTGGTAATAATAGGTATAAGAGTAGTTGCTTTTCTATCTGCTATCCTTAGGGAGAGAAGCGACCTAGCGAAAAAACTTCCTACGAAATATTAAAATTATCAGCTTACTCTCTCTAGCGTTAGTAAGCTTCAAACATATAGCACAACGATGAACAAACCCATCAGTTGATTTGGTATAGCTTTTTAAAGTCGTAATACCACCACACAAACAAATTCGCTATTTCCGGCGCAACTCAAATCCAGGAAATACTGGAAAACGCTAACCTCCTCGAATTGCAACAATAGCTTTGTAAGGTCACGCATTAGAAATGAATCAAGCGCTATAAAACATTGAACTGCGTTCGTGAACCTCATTGGATAATTCGACATCGTTCGTGAATCTCATTGGATAATTTGCTAATTGGTAGTTAGTGGTGTCGAAAGTTTAACTTCGCCCTCTACGATATCTTATTTGGTAAGCATTTTATGTGATTAGAAAAGTATGAGGCATGAAAATCTAAGAAGCCAACTAGTTACGCTTGCTTTTATCGAAGTGATTAGAAATCGCTTCCAGAAAGTGTGTAACGCGTGAATAATTAGTAGCGGCACAGACAACACTTATGGTTGACCCAACAGAATGATTACTGTTGTGCAGTTGGTGGCCAATAACATGACGGTGCGGCGTGGCAAGTATTGGGTGGTGATATAGAGCAGAAGGAGCCTGAGTCAATCAAAATCAGTTTAAATTACATCACCAATTCTAAGGAACCAGATGGTTATGCTGCTGGAAATATTTCCAACTCCTTTCTGATAAGCTTTCACTAGAAACAAGGCTTGCGATTGCTGTGTAGTCAACTATTTTGCTAGACCTGAACTTTAGCCACACTACCTGATGACTGTTTAGCTTAGCCTATCTAACCTGGTGGCTAGGCTGCTCTTGATACCAAGCCAACTACAGAAGGGAGAATGTATCCCATGCGGTTAGTCAAGGATGCATTTATTAACTATGCTATGAAGAGAGTATATGGTGAAACAGTCACACCACAACACACATGGACGTTCCTTGATCCAGTTATTGCAGATAACAGCCAACTTGACAGTTGAAGGCGAAATGGTTGAGATTTATTTGATTGAACAAACTTCTTTGATCTTCTGTAAAAACTGCAAAATTACTGGAAAACACTACATGAGCAAAAATTTCTATTTCCTCAATCATTATTATATTGGTTGGAGGATTTCATCATGAACTGACATGAGTTAGAGAACCATTGGAAATCCAGCCACAAGGAGTACAGAACAGCTGTTTCCTACTTCCTAGTTTGGGACTCTTTAGCAGTACGCACCCACAGCCACAGTTCGAACCAAAGTCCTTCTGGTTACAACGCTAGTGAGGTCGGAGACCATTCAGCAGCCACTGTGACCCGATCCACTGGCTAGTTGATGAATTCTGACTTCTACCAAATCATGACATAAACCCGAGCACTTCCAAATGTCTTCATCGATGAGTTACTGCCTCACCTTCAACCTGCTGTACTCTACTGGTCACAGCTTCCCACTAGTACCCCGGATTAACTGCCGGAATAGGGCCATTCACTAGTGAGCATCAGATTAATTTTCAAGTATTGGTTTTGTAGGGACTATTGTTCGATTGGCTGGAGGATTCTATCATGAGCTGACATCATTTAGAGAACCATAACTGATTTCAGCTCATGATGAAATTTCTTATGAAATTTGATTCCAAATTCACTTTCTTATTGGCAGTATTATTCACGTGAATGCCTTCTGAATTACTTTTCCCTGTAATATGTAATAGAAATAGAAAGTTAGATTCAATAATGGGGCAAGTTAAACTTTAAGCACCATTGATTGCCACTGGAGTGTGGCCGTACTAATGACCTTGAAACGTTCACTGGGCGAGTCAGTGAAGTTCAACAAATAACGTTGTCATCACCACTAAAATATGCTCATTGAAGCCGAAGACAAGTTAAGGGTTAGGTTAACCCAATAAAGGCCACATTAGCGTTGGTTCTAGTTAGACTACAGTTAGTTTAAGAATATTTTCACGTTACGGATAGGTTCATTAAAAATCAAGGTTACTGTTAGGTTTAGAAGCCTTAATTAATTATATGCATAGAATGTGGTTAAAATACTCTGTTGATATAAGAATAGAAATTGGCCACTGTGGTAGAATATAACTCCATTATAGATAAAGTTTTATTTTGATAAAGTTTCACAGTGTTATACAGTAATATTGCTCAGGAAATATTTCTGTATTACACTATGAGACTTTATCAAAATAAATTTAAACCCACAATTGAATTATACTCTATTGATGCTCTAAAATTGAGAGCCAAAAATCAGCATGCGTTCAAGGTCATTGGAGCGTTCGCACTCCTGGGACGCTGTTGTTGAACTTCGTTCTATTTTCATCACATGTAAGAGCAAGGTATCCTCTGTAACACTTTTTTACAGTTTTTATGCATTAATTCATAAATATATATGCATGCATCCGTATACGAAAATGCCCCCCTTCACAAAATTGGTGCGTTCGAGGTCATTCAACCATCGCCTCCCCTGACGGGCATTACTAGTTGATATAGGTGCAGGTTGGAAAAGAGTAAGTGGTGGTCAAAGAAAAACATGAAATCAATCCATGAAATCCTTGACAGTTAAACTGAATCAGGTAGGGAAATGCAGATTTCCGGGTTGGGGCCCTCGGGACTGACTCTAGGAATCAATGGCTGGAGACAATAGGTGAAATGGATCAAAATCGTTGTCGATGGCCAGCGGAGATGTATTCAGTCTCTGTAATCTTTCATATTCCCTTCTACCATTGCCCATTCTGTTTCACTCTTATACTTGTCAAACTCTAATGATTCTCTTCACTTATCTTCTTCTCTACCTCTATGTGCTATTTGGAACGTGGCAACTCGAACTGGTGCACTTCGGTGCCAAGTTTCTATGTTGAATCCAGACAGAGAGACAGACGAGGTCATTCACTGATTAGTAGTTAGTTAGTTAGTTAGTGGTGCTGAAAGTTTAACTTTACCCAATAGTGTAATAAATGCTGAAAATCCCACACTGCATTAAATGTCCTGTTTGGAATAAAGTCATTGTTATTATTATTATTATCGTCGTTAAAATTAGTTGCAGTTGAATTTAGTTCATTAATTTAACAGTACACATTTAAGTATTGTATTAAATTACCTAATTTTACTCAACTTCGCTTAACTATTCCTTTTCTTTTGCATTTTGATATCTCAACAGGAAATTATATCAACCTTTTAACTCTAACAGAACCAATCCAAAATGATTTATACTTCAATCCAACTCATATATCAAATATTGATTGTGATTACTGGAGAAATTCATATCTGAATGCATCTACTGCTATCAACTCAACAGAGTCATCACCATTGTATCTTACACCTCTTCTACCGATCAGTTTTATCGTTGAAATGATCCCATATCCAAGGTTGACATCAGGACGATCATTCTTCTTCACTCGCCTGGATAATTATAATCGTATACGTTTAGCGATAGGAATAAATCAATGGGGTAAAACAGGAGAAAGTATGGAACTTTGGATACATCATGAATTATTCTATAGTATTGAACCAACTCCAAGAATTTCTAGATATTATACTGGATCAGGTTTAGTGAACCATGCTGGTCTTGTTGTAGTACCATTACCAAATTATCAGTATGCGAATCAAGCAAAACCGATTACTCTAATTATTGAAGTATGTTAGTTAAGCGTATTGTTTAAAATGTGCTATTTTTGATGTGGTTTTGTTCTCTGAGCTGGATGGTTAATTTGCGAAGCTTTCATCACCCTACTGGGTGACATCTTCAGCGCATACTTCAATTTGAATTGAAGTGAGCTATTAGATTTCTCCACGAGTTGTTTATTAGTCATCTCTCCTGGTGACCACCTTGGACGTGATTGGTTGTTTTTGTGTGTTTTCACACCTTCTAGGTTACTTGTATTGGAACTGACTGTTTCTTTGACTTGAACTTTGACGCTTTGTGTGTGTGAGAACTTTCTTTCTTATTGGTTGATAAATTTTGTCTATCTCTATGTGTCTATTGATTGATGATTCACTGGAATACCAGACAGGCTTCTAAAAATTCTCCAGCATCCTTGTTGTTTCCTCCCAACCCAATAACACACAAAAGGGAATTGCAGACAAACACTATTCAAGAGAGCAAGGACTCATTGCAGCACTCCCACCTTAAGAAAAATTGAAGAAAAGTATCTCATGGACGTCTTCCAAAAGAATGGATATCCACGGAATTTCATCAAAAAACATATACCCCCGAGCCAACCTACCAAAGCGAAAGCCACCAAAGAAAGCACAAAGAAAATCGCCTTACCATATATAAAGGATATCTCAGAAATCACTACAAGACTCTTCAGACCTTTAGGAATTGACGTCGTACACAAACCAACGAAGTCACTTCACTCAATTCTATGTCAACCAAAAGACTCAACAGCGAACAAAGATAAAACTAACATCATCTACAAAATAAATTGTAACAACTGTGAAAAACACTACATTGGCCAAAGTGGACGTCCCCTTCGTCTTCGTATCCACGAACATAAGCTAGCCGTCAAAAGACATGATATCCACTCCATCATATCACTACATACAGAAAACCACGGACATCAGTTCGACTGGGACAACCAACGTTCAAATATAAGACAGAGGAAACACCAAGAATGCTGGAGAATTTTTAGAAGCCTGACTGGTATACCAGTGAATCATCAATCAACAGACACATAGAGATAGACAAAATTTATCAACCAATAAGAAAGAAAGTTCTCACACACACAAAGCGTCAAAGTTCAAGTCAAAGAAACAGTCAGTTCCAATACAAGTAACCTAGAAGGTGTGAAAACACACAAAAACAACCAATCACGTCCAAGGTGGTCACCAGGAGAGATGACTAATAAACAACTCGTGGAGAAATCTAATAGCTCACTTCAATTCAAATTGAAGTATGCGCTGAAGATGTCACCCAGTAGGGTGATGAAAGCTTCGCAAATTAACCATCCAGCTCAGAGAACAAAATCACATCAAAATCATCCACCTGAGCTACAAATCTTCTCTATCATATCTAAAATGTGCTATTTTTGGGCATATTTTCAAATGAATTTAATACATGTACTTGAATTATTATTATAAGTTTCGAACTTTAGTTTGCGTCGCAAGGTACAGTGGCAGAATGCTCGCCAACCACGGCATGTGTGATTCGGGTTCTATCCCCGGCGACTGACGCACTCCTTGCTACCTCGCTAAGTCAGTAATAAAATTGGTAAAGAGAAGGGAAGTTTGAACATGAGGCTGGCTATCAACGCCATTCCGTTAAAGTAATAAACACCACTGCTACCGGAACTTGAAATGTCTAGCTTAAAGGTGCCCGATGTTCCACTAGGAACGTAAATGGATAAAATAGTGATAAGAAGAAGAACTTGATTACTTGTGGTAGAATGTAATTCCACCATATTAGATAAGTTCATCGTGACACAGTACTATTCATTGGGATAATGTTTCGAGGACAGTTACAAAGCTTGATAGTTTCCTTTATAATGCATTTTCTCTCCTTTTCTGTCGTGTTGTTTGTTGTCACTTTGCGTATCTCCGGTATAGGTATTGCATCTTTTGGATTGTATGTGTTTGGTGTTGATTCGATAAGCTTCAGTGACTTTTAGGCAGGATTCTTAATGACTCTGGGATCAACTTTGTCACTTGAATCATCCATTGGATCCAATGAAGAGAAATAATATAATTTTTCAAATACTATGTATTAATTATAGATAAGAATTTATTTTTTGATAAATCACACATACTTTCGACTATATGATCCAAATAAATAATGTGAAGTATCCACTTCATATACTACTGATTGTAATAAGTATAGCCGGAGAAGCACTCGCGGTAATGCTTGCTAGACAACTCCAAATGATTTAAACAGTGGATGTATATTTCACGGATTTTAAGCCGACTTCATAACCGGTTTATATCTAGTTAGCCTCTACTCAGAAAGCCGAATCATCTCAGTCTATCAGAACAGTTATAGGTGAGCAGTAGTCGAAACTCTATTTATACACAGCCTGGAGAATCTGTTCTGCGGTTAGTTTGGGAGAATAATTTCTAATTCTCAAGAAGGTGTTGAAAAATAATGGTTACCCTCGGAAGTTCACTAACAACTATGGTAGATGTGAGGGTTTAAATGTCAGGGGGATTATGACGGAAAGAAAGCCTCTCTTTATACAAATCGATTTCACAGGTGGTGGTATTATTTCAGGGATAGTTAGAAGAGGATTGAACATCTCATTAGGCATAACCTAACCTGCAGCTAAGTTAGTTCCCATTTTTCGGACAACTTGCTCTTTAGTGCAGTCAACACATCAACAGATGACATTCTTATGTTAGCTTTAACTGTGTAGACAAATTTGCATATGTATCTGCGGTAGCAATTACATTGAGAAAATTGAAAGATAAGTACATTTTCGGTTTTTTGAACATGCACCAAAAAGCCTATGTTTCTAGGGAACAGATGCTTACAATAGAGTTTATTTCCAGACGTCTCGTGAATACAGGTAAACAGGTGAACAGCATAAAAGTTTACTTTCATAAAATCACACAGTGGTTTTATACAGTAAGTAATATTTACTGCTGATCCCGTTTCGAGCACAATTTACTACTGCTCATAATCATATCAAGACACTACATACCAAACTTTCTAGCAAAATGCATAAACAAACAGTTGGTGGAATGGAACGCAATGGAATCACCAATATACCCTATCATAGCAGATATCTTTATAGACGACTAGGAAAATCCTGCTCTTAATACATTTATTTAATCCTACTCGAAAGATATGGTGGAGATATATGTAGAGCTATGTCGTGAATTGGCAGAAGTTAGAATTCAAGGACCACTGGATCGGGTCCCAGTGGCTCAATGGCCTACGAGCTCACCTTGTAACCAGAAGGTCCTGGGTTCGAATCCCGGTGGGTGCGTACTGATGAAGAGTCCCAAACTAGGACGAAACAGCTGTCCAGTAATCCCAGGTTTTCCAGTGGTTCTCTAACTGATGTCAGCTCATGATTAAATCCTCCATATATGTAGAGGACACTTGCACACACAGTGTTCAAAAGAGAGCATACCTCCAGTTTTTTCATACACGTAAAGGGAATGAAATTCATATTTGAGTCAGAAAATGAACAAGGAGAATTAGGAATGATGTTACATTGTAAAATAAAACCAGCAGACGAAGGTAAACCAAACACCAGCGTTTATAAAAGGAAAGGCAAACGTATTCTGCTAATATATATTTCGACTTTAATTCATTTCATCTGTTATCTGTAAAGGCAGGTTGAATTGATGAAATAAAACAGATAGAAGAATAGCTGGTTGGTGTTAAATAACTAACTATCCTATAAAATTCTTTAGAAAGATAAGAAAAGGTCAAAAGCAAAATAAAAATAATGGTGGAACTAATAGTGATTGTATGGAGGATTTAATCATGAGCTGACATCAGTTAGAGAACCACTGGAAAACCTGGGAGTACTGGACAGCTGTTTCGTCCTAGTTTGGGACTCCTCAGCAGTAAGCAACCACCGGGGTTTGAACCCAGGACCTTCTGGTTACAAGGCGAGCTCGTAGACCACAGAGCCACTGGGACCCCATCCAATGGTTCTTGAATTCTAACTTCTGCCAATTCCCGACATAGCGCGACCACTTAGCAATGTCTTCTTCGATGAGTTACTGCCTCATCTTCGACCTGCTGTACCCTACTGGTCACGGCTTCTCACTAGAACCCCAGGTTAACTGCCTGAACAGGGCCAGTCGCTAGTGAGCATCAGATTAATTTTCAAATATTGGTTTTGTAAGGATTTGGTTTGATTGTATGGACGATTTAATCATGAGCTGACATCAGTGATCGCATAAATAAGAGAGAATATAATATAATATATCTACCGTGGTTTCGCCATGTATGAGGAGGGGACATCTGAGACCCTATGTGGTAGGATTTTCAATAAAACAGGAATTAAGTTGACTCAATGGTAACGTCTCTGACTGCAGCACTGCGTGACACGGGTTTGAATCTCAGAAAGGACATGAATTCCTTCGAGCTTGCAGATACTCTTTGCTGACCAGTGAGTGCCAACTAGCATGAAACGTAGGTCAGTCAAGGCTTCCAGTGGCCGATTGCCTTCAACCATCTAATACCAACAATGTTCTATTTTCATGTCATTTCATATGGGTTTACTGGGATGTGATTGAGTTTTCCAAGCTAGACGATTTACTCACTACGCTGTCATTGTCTTCCTGGATAACACCTTCAAAGCGAAGCTTCCATATGAAATGAACTTATATGAATATGATTTAGTAGTGTGAAATATTCCCAGATCATGGATTAGAAGTCAATCTGCACGATGAATATTCTTTTCAACAATTTCTCCTCTTCAGGTTCTTACAATTATAAAACGGTTATAATATTTGTTGTCGACTGCTAAACATAGCTGAAGCTGTTTCAATAAGATCATCGACTAAACCAGAACTTTGTATCCAAAAAGAACACGTCCAGACGCTGTTCCTTCCGTGGCCAACCTTGGATTGAAGATTTTTCTTCTCACCAAGAGTGCTCCTTCCCCTTAACTCTCTTGGTTTTTTCCTTTGCTTATTATTACAATTATTATCATTACAATTATTATTATTATTCGTCATAATTTATGCCCTTCATTCAAACATTCTCTCAATACTATTAAATTTTCCATTTACACTATCCGGACTTATTATTAGTGACATTATCTGTTTTGTCAATATATGCCTCCACCTGTTTCATTTCACACATTCGTTATTTCATTATGAACCAACTCTCATTGCAGTCTTACTATCTCCTCCTGTTTAACCCAGACCACTTTGTACTAGCCACTCACTCACTCACTCGCCTGACACCTTTTATAACCTTGAACTGATCTGTCAATTTTCCTACCCCACATTCTACGAATCTATGATGACTAATCACCACCACTGTCTCCCGTTTTACAATATTTTGTAATTAATTTCGGCTCAGAGCACGTTTGTCCTACAAATACGACTATTTATTTTGACACCCCATAACTGCTAATCTGTTATTCTACGTTAAAAATGTATCCGCCGCATAACTGGCCTTTATTGTAAGGACAACAAATATTATATTTCATCCCAGAAAAATCTTGTTTTGATTTTCTTAACACGCTGGGATTAATTTAAATAATTTAAAATGAATCAGTCTGACTCGGCGATCAAATTATTCCACGAAATTCGTAACACCTACGGTCTGGAAACCTATAAAATATATTTTCTGATCGTAAGGACCTGAAGTAGAGAAATTATTGAAAAGAATATTCTTCGTTCAGATTCCATATTAGTTTGTTTATTAGGTGGATATATCACACACACAGTGAAACAGTATTATTAGTTACTGGATGACAAAGTTTCAAACAAAATCTATACATTGTTCATAATCATTTGATCAGTTATATAATCACACGACTTCGAAACTTGAATTTTATAGTCCTCTTTGTTCTCTCCTATTTGTCATCGTAGGCGTGGTAGTAGAATTTTCCAGATATCTGGGTGGACAGGTGTGTTGAATAATTCCTGTTACACGTATTCCGTGTCAGTTGATTCGATAAACACAGCTTCCGTTATCAGTCCTGCTCTCTGCACCCTGTGACATTAGATTTTAAAACTGTCATCTTATCTAATCATTTGTATTGTTTTAAAGGCTCCACAGGATCCTTTAAAACAAAACAATTTAGTTTATCTAATTGCCTGTCTGCCTGCAATGATTGTCAGTTGAAATACATAGATGAAGGTAGCAGATCGCTGGTCACTTAGACCAGCGAAGCACAAAAATTTGACCCGAATAAGATAAGAAATCTGCTGGGAATAGTCAAGCATATAGCAGTCACTATATGCAATTACATAAAAACAAGCAGTATATGATTGGATAAGATGACAGTTTTAAAAATTAACGTCATAGGGTGCAGGGAGCAGGATTGATAACGGAAGCTGTGTTTATCGAATCAACTGACAGGGAATACGTGTAACAGGAATGATTCAACACACCTGTCCACCCAGATATCTGGAAAATTCTACTACCACGCCTACGATGACAAATAGGAGAGAACAAAGAGGACTATAAAATTCAAGTTTTGAAGTCGTGTGATTATAACTGATATAATTGTGAATCACAATAAATTTTGTTCGAAGGACTATTTTGTAACCGATTTCAGCCTAGCACCATGTTTATGAAACAAAAAGGACTATTTATTTTGACACCACATAACTGGTCTGTTATTCTACGTTAAAAATGTATCCGCAGCATAACTAGTCATTATTATAACGATAACAAATATTATATTTTATTATTGTAAGAACCTGAAGTCAAGAATTTATTGAAAAAGGAATATTTTTTCGTTCAGATTGACTTATATGAATACTTATATGAATAAATAATGTAAATTGTTTCTTCTGATTACGTGTGGCTGTCAATTGACTGTCAATTTACATTAGAATTGGTGATTACTATAAACTTGAAATTTGATTTCCCGTCATGTAGTTTATTCTCTTTTAGTTGATAAATTTGATCTATAGCAATACTATTTTATTGATAATCATTCCTAGGATATTTAATGTTTCTTAGGCTTAAAATTTCTATGTATTCCTAATCAAAATGTTGTCCATAGACCCTAACCGGGAAATAATTTGGAAATTTTAAGGCAATTAGTCGCCTTTATGAATTTCTACAACACATTAAGACGACGTAGTTTATCTGAAATGTGTAATGCAGTGTGTATTTGTGCAACACATTTCGGACATTCACAGTTATATCGAAGGCAAGGAAGCGTAAGTGATTACAATACAGGTCAGACTGTGTACAAGTTAAGGTCACAAATAATGGGTAGGTATATGACGCAAAGGGGTGTGGTAAGAAGGAAAAGAAAAGAACAATCCAAGTAAAGAAAGGATTGAAAATATTCTGAAATAGATTGACCCTTGGTTCTAAATTGGATTACCAAGGCAAGTTTAAGGTGATAACAAATAACTTCTGGACAAATAAGACAGGTCTAAGTCTTTTTATGGTGTAGGCTTCAATGGATTTAAGTATGTGACGCAACCTTGTTTTAAATATGGGTTTATAGGCATTGTTGAAATCAACCTTATGACTCGTCTCCATAATGTGCTTCACTATATGTTGGACATCTATTTCCGGGGTCAATTGTATTTGGTGATTTTATTTGTTATTGTAGCCACTTTGAGATATGTTGTGTAGCCCTAACCTGCAGAGACCTATGGGTCCTCCCTCTGTACGTGTGTCCACACATATATGTAAATTGATAAACGCACTGGGATGTGACGCTATCGTTTGGATACTGTGAGGGTTTACAGGACAGGATAGGACATTTTCTCTTTGAAGATAAGCTTAGCCACTTAGTAAGTTCTGTTAATTGCTGTCTTGAGTTTTTGTTTAGTGACTAGACTTTGTCGATCACTCCTGAACGGCAGGAATATATAAACATCCTTTTTAGGAGCTGATTGGGTTGGTAAAGCTATACGGTTAACATTTCCGTAACGCCTAATGAATCTCAGTGCGCAGCTGTTATCTAACAATATTTCATTGGGGGTGTTGTCTATCTTGTTCAATTGTTTCGGCAGTACATATACGGTGAATGCGCCTGAACAAACATTTAACCAACGCCTTTTTATACTGTAGTGAACATAAACTATGATAATTTAGATATTGTCCCGTCCATGTGGACTTTCTGTAGACAGATCGTTTTACTGACCCATCTTATCAGCGGCCGGTTATGAGTGCATCTAAAAATGACAAACAATCATTATTCTCTTTAATATATGTTAGCGATATATTGTTTTGTAATCTGTTGATCTGGTTAAAGATTTCTATGGCGTCTGTCGGCTTATCACAAATGTCTATTATGTCATCCACATTACTTCCTCCACTAGGTTCTCAACATGCGACTTGTGTATATCAGCTAACAATGGACCTAAGAGGCTTCCCATAGCAACACCATCGACCTGGCGAAAATGCTCCCCCTGAAATGTAAACTTAACATTGTTGAAACATAGAAGCAGCAACTCTTTTAAATAAAATATAGATACTGGCAATAGGAAATTGTTCATAACCACAGCTTTGCGTCATCTTCCTACCCACTATTTGTGACCCTGACATGTATTTTGATGATTCATGCCTTCTTGCTTTCTGTATAAATGTGTATGAAAAGTACTCGTGTGTGTTTGTATGATCAGAATGTTCGAAATGTGTCATGCAAATACATCACACATTTCAGATGAACTACGTCTTCTTATTGTGTTGACGAAATTTGTAAACTGCTTTAACATTACAGCTTGCCTTTATGCATTGAAGAATACAGGGAAACGACTACCTAATACTCTATGTGTTAGAATGACATTAAGTAAATGAATTTCAGTTAGATGGGTAGAGACAATCGGCAGGTAGACCCCAACCTTGGTTTCCTGCATACTGTCACTTGTCTCTAGGACATATTCGAAGCCTGGAAGGAACTGGTTTTCTCTCGAGGAATCGAACCAGCGTCACCCAATGCTGTAATCAGCGATACTGCTACTGAGATATAAGACTCGTGACTAACCTCTCGTAGGCCCGAAATGTTAATATTGATTATTCGTTGGTGTATAGTCAATATCGTGTTTCTGGTCTTCAGTGTTCGTGACGATTTTCCAATATGAGACACTTTCAACTGGTGTCAGACGATTGGAGGCAAGAGGCGTCGTTTTTTTTTTTGAAAATTCATTTATTTTACCAGACAATTTCATTCTCGAGATAGTCAACTCTAAATCTTCATCCCAACTTACTTTATTTATTTGATTTTGTTTTAAATTTAAAAAAAAGATTACAGATGTCTGTGTTAAAGTGTTCAACAAATTTAACTCGTTCAAAAAACCGCTCTACCAAATTTATTATCGACAAAATATTAAGTATCATCATTTACATGGAGATACATTTGAAAATAAATCAGAACAAGCATCAATGTTGGATAGATTTTATATTCTGTCTGGAGGACCTCATCATGGAGATCAATTTATGGTATGAATTATGTATTTACAGCGTTTATGTTTAATTATATAAGAATGTTATACGCTATGATTATTTTTGAATTTTTCGCCTTATGAAGTGTTAGCTTTGGAGGCATTTGATTGGTTAGAGATTCGATCAGGAGTTGACATCAGTTAGAGAACCATTGGAAAACCAACTAACTGGGGAGGGGGCACTCGACAGCTGATTCGTCCTTATTTGTGACTCTTTATCAGTGCACTCTCACCAGGGTTCGAACCGACGATCTCCTGGTCACGAGGTGAACTCTTAGACCATCCAGCCACTGGGATCAGATTTTGACGAGTCATATTTTTTTAAATTTTGAATTTTAAATTTTGATTACAGCTTGATGCCACACCGTATTTTTGATACAAGTATGGAATTTTCAGCTTGTGATATCGGTAGCCCAAATTTTGCAGACCGACCATAGATATCAGGTGTGCGTCGGCAGGGTATCGAACTTCGGACCATGTGCATGATCGGCGAGAGTCCTAACCACTGTGCCACCGACGCACAAAGATGAAGTGGAGGGCGAAGAGAAGCAGGATGTCTATTACGATGTGACAGCTTCATCCACGGTGGAGGCCAAGGATTGCATATTGGATTTTGACAACATGGCTGATTTGACTAGAGAGAGCAGATTCTGTAAACTGTAGCCAAGAAGACAACTAGTAGTAGGCTGTTAGTAATGCCACAGACTATTCATAGGCCTCTACCTTTGGCTTGGTTTGAGAAGAAGCAACTACAGCATTGTCAGGAAACATTCAGTTGGTAGAAAATCAATGGAAACAAGATGGGATTTGCATCAGGTGGAACAGTGCACCAGAAGACACACGCAGAAATGAAAAATAGAATTTAAAAACACCAGGAGAACACGAAACCTGTGGATCTGTAGAAGGCGAAGCTGAGGGATTCGATTAAAACTATCGAATAAAGAAAATAGCAAATAAAACCGTTCACTCAATGTGGAACTATGAGTAGAAATATGCCTTTCAATGTTCAGTTTACGAAGGGAAGCATATATATATATATTTGTGATACAAATGTGCCGGTGGATGCGTACTGATGAAGAGTCCCACAGTGGGACTAAACAACTATCAAATACTCTCAGATTTTCCAGTGGTTCTCTAACTGATTTCAGCTTTTGATCAATTCACTAAGATTGTTTATAGAACTGTTTGGAGTATGACTTACGTGGTGCTTCTTCCCTGGTGATTTTGTGAATTGGCTGCTGACATATGTTGAAAGGAAGTTGGAGATCGCCTGAATGTTTTCAAACGACACCCAATAAGTGGGAGCTTGGCAGAACAGCAGAGTGTGTTAGGACATCACTATAATAACAGGTACCTATATTTGTACGCCAGTCACATCACAAACTGCATTTTTAGTAAAGTGTACATTGTAAATATACAGACACAGACATGAGCTTACGATTGGTAGCTGGTGTAACTGGTGGGCTAGTCAGTATGACCAAGCAGATTTAAAAGGATGTTGAATGGAATCAAGTGAATACACACACCTCATGTTTCATAAAGAAGATGAGGCCAGCTTCACTGAGCTAATAGTATAAGACATGTTGCTCTTCGTTTGGTGTCTATTCATGATATCAGTTAAATAATCTTTAAGAACTAGGTAGGATGGTCAGTTGTTCCATCCTAATTTGAGTTATTCCGGCGGGCGTACTATTGCCTCTATTAGGAATAGAACGTGATGTGAAGTCAGTCAGTCAGTCACCTCTTCTATATGGATCAGAAACTTTGCGGGCGTGTCACGAACAGGATTTTCAACAAGGTACAGACTTTTCCAACGACTGCCTTTACTGGCTCCATACTGGAGATAAAATGACTGATTAGCCAGCTAGAAAGAATTAGCAAGAAGAAATTTTGGCTGGGAAGAAACCAACAGGCAAGAGCTGCTTGCTCAACAAATATGTAGGAGGAAAAGAAAGTGGATCGGGCACACATTGAAGAGGCTGTTGAATGCCATCGTGCTCAATGCAGGCCACTATTCTAGTGGAACCTCAATAAAGAAGCGACCAGTTGATCGTCAGTGAGAAGGTGACATAGAGGAGATCTTGCCAGGAAGAGATGAGAGATTATGGGGGTAATTGTGGACCCGGATTTATTCAATTCACTTCAGTTATAACAAATTGGCAACGGGGTTATAACATAGCATAAAGAACAAGATTCGGATTTTGTTCAACACAAATGTCAAGTCTTTTCTTCTTTACGCGTCAGAAAATTGCACTGCACGTCACAAAAAGCATTTCCAACAAGTTACAGAGTAACATCAACATCTGCCACCTTCACTGGCTGGCTCCAAACTGAACATCAAATGCCCAGTCAGATGGCCAGAAAGAGTTCTAGTGAGAAGTCGTGACCAGTGAGGTCCAATTAGATGTCACGTGTGTGGATGGATGTCCCACCAACGACAATGGTTGGGGTCGTGCTAAATCACGAATTGGTAGAAGTTAGAATTCACGAGCCATTGAATCGGGTTCCAGTGGCTGAATGGTATACGAGCTTGCCTTGTAACCGGAAGGTCCTGGGTTCGAACCCTGGCAGTGGGTGCGTACTTCCGATGATTCCCAAACTAGGATGAAACAGCAGCTGTCCAGTACTCCCTGGTTTTCAATGGTTCTTTAACTGATATCAATCCGTGATCAACTCGTAAAAAATAAGTAATCTGTTGGTTTTTTCTTTGATATAATGACACTAATCATAATTCTCATTTATTTAAAAAAAAATCATTTTTACAGGGATTCACGAAACAGTTGAAAATGTTTTTCACTGAATATGGTGCTAGAAAATACTCTTCCGACAACAGCGTAAGTTTTTGTTAACAGTCATTTACTATACAGCATCAGACAGACTATAATTCACAACTTTTATCATTTGAAATAATTAGTCCATTTAATGAATTTGGATAGATGTTATCGGATTAAAAGTATAGCAAAAATATTCATTCAGATATCTATAAAACACAACATAATTGAGCAAAGAATATCCCCTTTTCGATAAATTCCTCTCCCAGGCTCTACAATTATATACATGTTTATATACACAGAATATTCAAGATTGGTAGTTAATAACAATATTAGTGTTTTTTAAATAATATCGATTTGTAAAGTATGATCGATAGAATTACAGTTCACTAAAAATACTTAAATTATAATACTAATAAAGATATAATAGCGAGTAGGATATCAACTAAAATTAGGAAATTTTCACGAAAATTGAGAATCATTCAAACCTAGATGGCCAAGGTAGGGACAGTGTCTGAACTAACTTCTTTTGGACGCACAAATTAGGCTTTTTAATGTGGATCCCAACAGCCTCAGCAATATTTAGTAATCGAACTCTTAAGGCGAAGTTGAGATTTGTTGGTATCCGATAAATAACTCTGAAAGCTTGGTTAACATCAATCCTATGTTCTGTATCCACCAGATGAGCCAAAATAGCGCTACGGATAGATTTTGTTTGGCCTTTGCTTAACCACGCAGGGTGATGTTCGGAAATTCGACGAGAAACAGGCCTAATTGTGCGGCCTATGTAACTGGCTCCACAGGAGCAATTAAATTGGTAGATACACATGGATGAGGCGAAATTAGGCAGTTTTTCTTTTACTCCCGAACGCAGAAGAGAAGTAGTCTTAAAGATACAACGTAATTCAGCAGCAGGGAATGCTCGTTTTACCGCATTTCTAATACGCTGTGTTAGTATCTCGCTAGTGTTGTCCCCAAGGAACTGCATCTGAAAGAATAAGGCCTTTTTTGGAACTGTTGGTAACTTCGGCTGCTTTGGTTTCAAATTCATATTCTTATCAATAAACTTTTCAGGATAACCATTCTCACTTAGCAACCGTTTAATATTATTCAGTTCTTCATCAAGACATTCGTCCGAGCAAATCGCTCTTGCTCTGTGAACCAAGGCAGAAAGCCTTGGGGAGATGGGTTTCTTGCTCATTTGGTACTGATTAACAAAGGGGCTCTACTACTTCGTATGGAATGACATCCTCCATCCTCCATGCGTCACCCAAAGGACTGATGGTAGTTCCATATTAGTTTGTTTATTAGATGTATCACACACAGTGAAACAGTATTATTAATTACTGGATGACGTTTCGAAGAAAATTTATTGTTCATAATCATATCAGTAGTAATCACACGAGTTTGAAACTTGAGTTTTATAGTTTTCTTTGTCTTCTCCTATTTGTCATCGTAGGCGTGGTAGTAGAATTTTCCAGATATCTGGGTGGACAGGTGTGTTGAATCATTCCTGTTACACGTATTTCCTGTCAGTTGATTCGATAAACAAAGCTTCTGTTATCAATCTCTCCCCATACCCTGTGACGTTAGATTTTAAAACTGTCATCCTACCCCATCCTATTGTATGGTTATGTGTAATTACATGTAGTGAGTGCTATAGCTGAACTATTCCCTAGATTTCTTATCTTATTCGGGTCAGCTAATCTAGATATACCAAGGATTTTGTGTTCAGCTAGTCTGACTGCCCCTGTCCCAATAGTTTGACCTATATATTTGACCTGAAAATCGTTGCAGGCAGGGTATTAGATAATCTAAATTGTTTTGTTTTAAAGGCTCCACAGGAGATGATATCGTCATTTCATAGTTTCTCGATAATCGCTTTACAACTAACATGGTTTACAATAATAATAAAATAGAATGCAAGACAATTACTCAGTTAAATAAAACAACAAAAGTGCATACTAATGACCAATCCCATTTAAATAGGTCAAGTAAATTCGCCATGGTAGGCGAGAAGGCTGAAGTCGATTGTTACTTTTTGTACACATAGTTTAGGCTGTATGTGATTAATCCCCGAAAGTGTTTCCATTACCTTTAATAACCAACCTTGAATTAGAGTTATGTGATGAAATAATTGTGAAACAGTCATTAATTAATATTGATTTTGTATCGTGACATTAATAAGTGTTTTGCAATGGATTATTATGCTGGATGTCTGTTCAGATTAATAATTGCATTGGGATTTTCTATGTGTCTTAATAACTATTTTGGAATATGTTCTTTTCTATGACAGTGGAACATTCTATCGGTTCTACCTATATAAGTGTCACCGAAACGGCTACAGGTGAACTTGTAGATACAGTTTGAAGTATAGTCCACAGAATTTCGTCCTTTAATCATAAGTAGGTACGGGGATCGAAAATGTTCGGCATGTGAGAAAAAGAGAAGCGGCGTAGAATGTGCGTTTGACGGCTGACCGAAGTCTTTGAGCTGTCAACTGCATAATCTGGTTAACCTTGAATGGTAGGTCAATAAAGATAGATAGCTTTCTTTGGTACAGAAGCTGTCTTTTCAAGATGTGGTCTATCCTTACCGTGACAATTGATGAAGTTTTCTGGATGACCATTAGCTAATAAAACTGAATATATATGTTGAAACTCATCCATCAATGTGTCACTTGTGCATATTTTTCAGGCCCTTGAGGACAAACATTTCCCTAGGGGGGAACGTTTATACTGGATAGGAATAAAACTGGTGAAATAAAGATAGTATCAAGTATTGTTTTTTAGGGATTTTGTTTGATTGTATGGAGGATTTCTTCATGAACTGACATCAATTAGAGAACTACTGAGAAACCTGGAAGTACTGGACAGCTATCACGTACTTCCTAATTTGGGACTTTTAAAACTATGGGCACAAGATTCAAGATTCAGTGGGAATTCCTTGACTTACTGGGAATTGCAGGTATGCCCGTGCGGCTGACGAGTCCCATATTCTGCGCAGTGTACATCGTGGATTCCACTGCCAATCACCATCCACAAATTTACTTCAAGATTGCGCTATGTCACAGTATTGTCTTAATATATTAAAAGTGGGCATAAAATTTTCTATAATTTAATAATTCCCATGGTGGCATTCAGAACACAATATTCAGCGAAGAGACTCTTTTCAACAACGAATTTATTATCAAGCTGTACATTCGTATATTTATGGACTTATTTAAGAAATTATATCCGCTGAGGGAATTAGGTCAAAGGTGTGAATACATGAAAAAATGATAGTGGTATGAAATGCAATTAAAATATTTGTGATAATAATCATGGTTTAAGGTCAAGTGGCAAAGTAAATTAATGTCATATATAGAAAAATGCATAAGGTGTATAGATTTTGGAAAGGGGTACATAATTATGAGATTAGTAGACCAATATACAATGTTACATAACATGGTGTGAAATTTGATAAGATAGAATTCAATATTGTAAAAATAAAAAATATACAAATGAATAATTTTGGGTTTAAAATGTTAAGTGGGTCAAGTGGGAAAGATTCAGAGTGAGAATAGTAATAATAATAATAATCGAAGTAATAAGGCAGAGGTACATAGAATAACTAAATAAACAAAATAAATAAATGTCTATCCCTCTACGGCCAAAGCAGAAGTAGAGATTCTACATACTTCTTTTGTACGCAAAGGTCTGGCTTAAAGTCATGAATTGCCAAAGCCTCAGCTGCCTTTACAAGTCTGTAATGAAGCAAACGCGGGAAGTTAGCATGAATTCTATATATGATCTTGAAATCATGGTCAGTGTTGACAGAGTGACAGAAGCCGATCAGGTGTTCCAGAATACTGAGCTTCGTACACACTTCCTTTCTCCCTTGTAAAACTGTACTGCTGGACTATGTTCTCGTATCCGTGTGGAGAGCGTTCTCTGACTACGGCCAATGTACCTTGCTCCACAACAGTAGGTGAACTGATAGATACACATGGAGGCGGCCAGACGGGGAGCTTATATTTTAAAGAGGTAGAGAACAATTTGCGGCTCGTGAACGTTATATATAACTTCGCTGCAAAGAACGTTTTACACTGACTGATTTAGAGAGATGGTTTTTATGAGCATATCTGAAGCTTGATCACCTTTGTATTCCAAGTTCGTGAATAAGATTTTCTTTGGAAGTGAATCAGTGACGAGTGTGAACTGCTTATCTTTCATGCTGATGTCAATAAATCGGTTACGGTAACCATTTTCTGCGAGTGTGGTTTTTAAGAAGTCAAGTTCTGAGTCAACGTGATCAGAACTACAAATGTTCCTTATTTTAAAGCAGAGAGAATGAATCAAGTTCCTTTTCCTGGAGATAGGCACCCAACTATAAAAGTTAGTTAGTTGTCCGTTCCATGTACGTTTTCAGTGGATGGATCTTTTGAGAGATCTGTCATAACGTCTACTGAGGCACACATCAAGAAACGAAATACTTAGTTCAGATTCCTTTTATATGGTGAATTTTAAGGAAGGATGGCAGTTGTTGAAAGCGAATAAGAAATCATCAAGAATTACGTTATTATCACAGATGACAAAACTTTCGTCTACGTATCTTTCATAAATGTCAAAATGATCGATGGTTTGACTAAGTTGAGAATTTTCAAGCTTTGCCATGAAATTATTTTCTCACTTACTGAATTGCTTCTAAAATGAATAATATTCGTGTTTTGCTTATATATACGTTTGTAAAACTTTACAAGGGATTTTATTGTAATTCATTGTCATTCTTACATTGTTTATAGCATTTCAAATCATGTGAATATGGATTAAGCCTAGAGAATATTACAAATGAATGGAAGAAATTGAATTTGTTCGACCAATCAAACCAAACAGGTGAGAGTAAATTTGAGTAAGTAGGTAGGCAGCTTTTTAGCTTCTTCCCTATGAATTTAGTTTTTCTGATAACCAATAAAAAACAATTCGATGTGGTTTCGTTTTCTAAGCTGGATGGTTAATTTGCGAAGCTTTCATCACCGTAGTGCGCGACATCTTCAGCGCATACTTCAGTTCACTGAAGTGAGCTTCCAGATTTCTCCACGAGTTTATTAATCATCTCTCTTGGTGACCTTGGACGTGATTGGTTGTTTGTGTGTTTTCACACCTTCTAGGTTACTTGTATTGGAACTGACTGTTTCTTTGACTTGAACTTTGACGCTTTGTGTGTGTGTGTGAGGTGTCTTTCTTATCGGTTGATAAATTTTGTCTATCTCTATGTGTCTGTTGATTGATGATTCACTGGAATGCCAGGCAGGCTTCTAAAAATTCTCTAGTATTCTTGTTGTTTTCTCTGTCTAATATTTGAACGTTGGTTGTCCCAGTCGAATTGATGTCCGATCACTCCATCAACTCTGCTATTCAATTCCTAGAGAAAATCAGAGGCATCCAAATAGATGAACAAGAAATAATGGTATCCTTCGACGTGACAGCATTATATACCTCCATCGGACAAAAACTAGCAAAAGAAACCATGGAGCAATTACTTAGCAACGACGAACAACTGCCACAACAATCAAAAATGCAACACACAAGCTGGATGGAATGCATAAATCTATGCCTAACAACATACTTCCAATTCAACGGCCAAATATATGAACAAGTCAAAGGAACACCCATGGGATCGCCAATATCAGGTTTGATTGCAGAAGCAGTGATGCAAAGACTCGAAAACATAATTCTATTAAAGATCAAACCCAAGATTTGGATACGCTACGTCGACGACACATTTGTAATATTCAAAAGAAACGAGTTAGATAAAACTCACAACTTAATAAACAACGTCTTCAACGACATCAAATTCAAAAGAGAAGAGGAATCCGAGAACAAAATACCATTTTTGGACGTCTTAGTCAAGCGAACAACCACAGGGGAGTTAGAAACTCAAGTTTATAGGAAATCAACTCATACAGACCAAATCCTAAATTACAACAGCAACAACCCAATAACACACAAAAGGAATTGCATACAAACACTATTCAAGAGCGCAAGGACTCCCACCTTAAGGAAAATTGAAGAAAAGTATCTCATGGACGTCTTCCAAAAGAATGGATATCCACGGAATTTCATCAAAAGACATATACCCCCGAGCCAACCTACCAAAGCGAAAGCCACCAAAGAAAGCACAAAGAAAATCGCCTTACCATATATAAAAGATATCTCAGAAATCACTACAAGACTCTTCAAACCTTTATGAATTGACGTCGTACACAAACCAACAAAGTCACTTCACTCAATTCTATGTCAACCAAAAGACTCAACAGCGAACGAAGATAAAACTAACATCATCAAAATTGTAACAACTACGAAAAACACTACATTGATCAAAGTGGACGTCCCCTTCGTCTTCGTATCCACGAACATAAGCTAGCCGTCAAAAGACATGATATCCACTCCCTCATATCACTACATACAGGCAACCACGGACATCAGTTCGACTGGGACAACCAACGTTCAAATATTAGACAGAGGAAACAACAAGAATGCTAGGGAATTTTTAGAAGCCTTCCTGGCATTCCAGTGAATCATCAATCAATAGACACATCGAGATAGACAAAATTTATCAACCAATAAGAAAGAAACCTCTCACACACACAAAGCGTCAAAGTTCAAGTCAAAGAAACAGTCAGTTCCAATACAAGTAACCTAGAAGGTGTGAAAACACACAACTAGTCACGTCTAAGATCACCCACCAGGAGAGATGATTAATAAACTCGTGGAGAAATCTGAAAGCTCACTTCAGTGAATTGAAGTATGCGCTGAAGATGTCGCGCACTACGGTGATGAAAGCTTCGCAAATTAACCATCCAGCTTAGAGAACAAAATCACATCAAAATCATCCACCTGAGCTACAAATCTTCTCTATCATATCTAAAAACCTTTTCATTAATTATAATGAGAAACTTGTGGACAGACTTCATTTTGAAAGATTTTCTGTATAGGGAAAGCTTCACAACTAAACTATCTACACAGAAGTACCTTAAACGTGTTGAACAGACTCGGGGAACACAGAAGGATCGTGAGTTTTCTTTTGGGCAAGAAAACCTTTTGCTTGATGCTATGAATCTAAGATCCAGAAAGGCAAATCCGCACATCCAATGTCATCTTTGTCAGATGTGAAATAGGCGTTGTTCCAGTGTAAACGTTTTTATACCACTGAAGAAGTATACAGAGGTTAACAGAAGAAAATATGCAAGTGTCAGGAGTTTGGTAGTGCATCAAAGGAAAATATCCTGATTACAGGAATTTACAGGTAAATCTTCATTCTACTCGGTTCACGCCCATCAGTTCCAACTAGTGGAACGACAGAAGACAAAAGTCAGGCAACAGATCGTTTACTGAGGAAATCAAGAGATATTTATATATATTTTTTATGTACATTATTATTCGTTATTATTAGCAGAGAAACAGCGTCTTCTGATTGGTTGTCTTCTCGCTGAAAGTTTTCCTGTTATCTCTTGGTGGCCGTTTCTTTTAAATTTAGACCATATATCTGTGAACCGCATCCACTCATGATCAAGTTTTAGGACGTAAACACTGACGTGAATTGTTATCTACCAATTTTGGCTAGCAGACATCTCTCACCACACTGGCAGCATGACTGCTTACAGCCTTTCATTCGCTCTTTAAATAATTTCCTCCATATCATTGTTGAACTCATGTCCAACTCGTCGATTCCTTTTCGAGTTCCACTCGAGGGTCTGGAGGGCGATATCATTCAGTGGTCTAATCAGGGTGTGTCTAAACCATTTCCAATTCCTTCTGCATATTTGTCGGCCAGTAGGTTGTTGATCGTGTTGATTTTGTCATTTCATGGGGGAGGTGGATGGGAGTTGCAGCCAGGTCAAACTCTGTTCTTGTCCATCATTCCTATTCGGACAGTTTGGATTGCGATAAAGAAAGGAAGACGAGATTTGCAGTATAAAATTATATCATTCTATTTCACAGGTTCTCATCAGCTGCACACCACTACCTGAAATTACAATGATTATATAAATGATAAAAGCATACTTAAATGTTGAAGTGGTAGTAGACGCATTTCATTTTCGATGGGTCGATTTTATAGTATCTCTTCTCTGCTACCACTCCAACATTTAAGTATGTTATTATCATTTATATAATCATTGTAATTTCAGGTAGTGGTGTGCAGCTGATGAGAACCTGTGAAATAGAATGACGATATCATTTTATACTGCAAATCTCGTCTTCCTTTCTTTATCGAAATTTATCAAGGGAACCAAGTGTATGAAATTTGGATTCCGTTTGATATAAATGCCTGTCTTTTGATATTAGACGCTCTTTATGATTAATTGTGAAATTTTTTTGAATTCATTCAATATTGTCAAAATCAATTTTGTGACCTGATTCTATAACTTGTAGATGAGCAAAGGCTAATAATTGTTCAAGCTTTTCTAGTTCACTAACTGGATTCCTTGGTGGTAGTCGAACAGAGTCGGCTCTACGGTGTTCATCAAAATCAGAAGAAATGAACACCGTAGAGCCGACTCTGTTCGACCACCACCGGAAAATCCAGTTGAACTAAAGCAGAATCTGACCTAGTTGCAACACCCACCCACCCTCCTTGTGAAATAATAACATCAACACGAATGTGATTAGCAATTTCACTATGTAAATACACGCTACTTTTATAATTTTTGCACATTTATCAAATCCAACAGTCATCTATCTATACTTGGTTTTGTTATCTTTACGAATTGGCCAACTTGATAAAGCAAAAATGAGCCCATACTGAGGATCTATGAATAATTTTACTATATATAAGCTGAGATTTTGTAAATTTTAGTTTAATATTAGCACTTTGATAAAGCTATTAGCAGCATCATTAAATAGCGAAACGTCAGTAAAAACACCAATATCGTTTTGGGTGTTCATTCATTCACTGGGAAATACAAAGAACGCTTTATTATAGAGTTACGATTATTTTACAACAGCTTATGTGAAAAATTAATCGTGGATTTGGGGAAAATTTTATTTGCTGTTTACATGACTCCTACATAGGCATATTTCGTTCATTTGTCTATTGAAATGTCTAGCATGTACAACGTCCACATTCAGTTTATTATTCCTCTCACTAATATTATCATTAAAGTTAACTTAAATGGCTGTTCATATCAGTAGCTATTCACAGCTGAGAAAGTAATAAAAAGGCGAAATTATCTCTGCACTTTTAACACAGCAGCTGTTTTAAATAATTAGGCGAAATATATCGTAAAAGGATTCGGGGGGGGTGGTGGGTGGGTTTGGGGAATGAAATAGTGCCTAGAATTCCTAAATTCACATCAAATTGTACAACAATAATAATTTTCGTTTTATTGTATATCAAAGACAGATAGACAGTAGACTGTACTTTTGTTTTCATCAAAACATGAGGATTAATCATCTACAAAATATTTCAATATATCAATATTCGTCTTGTCTGTTATGTGTTTGTACAATTCACATTGTGCATAAAAAATGGTACATATACTGTCTGATTAAGGGGAAGTACAAATGTTTATTCAAATAATGATAATAATGATAATTATACTTTTCAATCGCGAAATATACCCAAATAATTCTTTAGGAAAAACACAGCTGTTGTTGTTGTTTTTCTCGGTTCAGTGAAGAAATACACTTTCTTTTCAAGGACTTCATTTTCAATCAGCTGTACAACAGTCGTATTTATATTACGGAAAGAGAAGGTATTAAGTTGGGGTGCAGTAGAAATCGCTCAGTGGTCAATATTACACGTATGTATAATGATAAGAATAAAGATAATTAAAATGAGTAGATATTAAGTAATTGTTAGCTCTTTTTTAAAAAATTGTCTTTTATAAATG